CCTGGATTATCCTAAAAGCTTTGGAGGCCGTGAGGACTTGGCAGCACCCCTGCCCACACCTCTCACCTCCCCCTCTGCTCTGACTGTCGCCTCCTTTATAAAGCCTGGCTCTCCCAACACCCCCACTTGCCCCTCACCACCGCTGCCAGCTCTGGGCTCCATGGACTGGTAAGAGGTTCCCTGTCCAGTTCAGGGGATGGAGGTCTCCACTTCCATGGGGATCATTGAGAAGGGTTTGGAAGTCTTGATTTTTCTCTGAGTCGGGGAGGGGAAGATAAGAGGGAGATCTTGAAGGTCTCTGTATGGAGAACCAAAGAGAATTCCTTTGGAGGTCTTTGGAGGGCTGGGCTGAGATCTGAGGGAGAAGTGGAGTGGATTCACCAGTTAACAGATGACCGGGGGCTTCATTCTGATAGAAAAGATGGGCAAATATTAATAGACAAGGCGCACACTCACCTCACAGAAGTTCATGCCTGATAAACACCTGCAGAAGTAGCAGGGGAGAAATCACGGTGCATGTCCTGTGGGGAACTCCCTTTGTCATAGAGGAAGAGGACAGACAACCCACATTCAAAGGCACCCAGGGCAAGATGAGTACACACAGTCATGATGTGCACACACACCTTTGTAGATTACACCCCCCCCCCCCCCCCCCCCAACATACAGATGCACGATCCTCAGCTAGATTCACCTTTCAGGCTGGAAATGGACGCGGATGCCAGCGATATTTGGATTTATGATAGAATTAGTGTCCAGCCTAGTGCTTGGGCCCTGGGTAGACCCTCAGTAAATGTTTGCTGAATGAACACTGGATGAAGGAAAAGATACCATTTGGCCCCAGCTCTGGACTCATCCAGGTTCCCAGGAACCTGGGACAGCGGGTGGAAAGAAGAAAGGAAAGGAGAAATGTTGGCGTCCAAGGTCACCAGCTTGCAGTCTTCCGAGTGCAGCTTGGAGAGTGGTGTGGGGAGTACAGGAGAGTGAGCAACTAGACCAGGAATTAGGAGAATGGGGCTTGGGTCCCTGCTCTGCTTCTGACTTGCTGTGTGACTTTGAGCTGCTTGCCTCTCTGTTCTGGGGTTGTTTCCCTACTAGTGAAATGAGGACTTGCAAGAGGCAATTGTTATGGGCAGTCCAGCTTCGATATTCTCATAGCGCAATCTCCACAGAAAGACTATTGAGGTTTGGAAGGGACCACAGATGTAGCTGTGACTTGTCCCAACAACTCAAGGCAGCTTTGATCTAGGGATCAGCTTAAGAATGCTGTCCCCTCCACCTCCAGGATCAAGGGGAGCCAGACTCCCAGAGCCATCACTGGTGCCCTAGTGAGGCTGGATGGAATAGCAGGCAGAACACAGGCGCTGGAGCCTGACAGATCTGGACTTGATTTCCTTCTCGGTCTCTTAACAGCTGTGTAATCTTGGCCAGGTCATTTGACTTCTTTGATGCTTGGCAGAACTCCCCATCTGTACAATGGGAATAATAATAACTACTTAGCTGCGTGCTGATGAGAATTAAAGATATTTGGATAAAGCGCCTGGAATATAGTAGATGCTCAATAAATAAATGTGTTATGATACAATTGGGGGCTAATGAGGCTGTTCCATGTACAAATGGATCGCCAACTATCAATGAGGTGTGAGAATAGGAGTGGCAGGAATGGGAAATGGACCCTTGTGTCAAAATCTGTCTACCCCTTTGGGGGACTAAGGGAGCAGGGCAGAAATGGCCCACGTCCTGGGCAGATCTCAGTTTGTGTGGGAGGCGGGGTGGGCAGCATTGTTCAGTTTGAGATGAGATAACACTGGGCAGTTATGTCAACCTCAGACTGTGGGCCGTGTGCAGTAGGAAAGCATCTGGCATGCAGGAAGTGAAAGGGCTGGAGTCAGAGGAACGCAAGTAGAAAGTCATCTGGAAGGAAGATAGTGAATGCCCTGAGTCAGAAGCAGAAACCTCGCAGGACGGGAAGCCAGAATGGCTGAGTTTCCAAAACAACTGCCTTACTGTTAATATTTGAAATGTTTATATTGATTTTAGAGAGGGAGATGGATAGAGAGATTGTAACATTGATTGGCTGCCTCCTGCATGCCCCCCACTGGAGATTGAGCCCCACAACCCAGGCATGTGCCCCTACTGGGATTCCGACCTGTAAACTCTTGGTTCATGGGTCCAGTGCTCAACCATGGACCCACACCTTCGGGGCCATGACTGTTCATTTTCATGCTGATAAGCCACAGGCAGATGCGGG